GGTGGAAAAAAAATCTCCGATTGCAACACCCAATTAAAAGACCCAGAGCAGACCAAAAAAAGGGGGGATGGAAAAGAAAACAACACAAGGAGCCAGCATCCATGCACTCCGCAGTGGAAGCAAGGGGCCCGCAGTGATCACCACCAAGCACCAATGAAAAGAGAAGGGACTGAAGGGAAAGAGGCACACACGCATCACCCCGCAGAATCAGCTCGCTGCCTCGGTAAACGTCCACGCACAGGTACGCAAGGATGTGTGAAATGTGTGGCTTCTCTCCCGCACGCAGTCCCGTTTTTTTTCCTTTTTTTTGTTTCCCGCTTTAGGTGGAGAGGGGTTGTTCACAAACACTTCTTTCGCATTTGCCCAACCCGTGGGCGCCAATAGCGAGATCGACGAGAGGCCCACCCACCCCGCCCTCACCGACCGGGGGGCGTCTGCGTCCCCGTCGCGGAGGGGGAGGAGAGAAAGAAGTACTTTTATATATATATATTTTGTCTTCCAAATACATCGGCGCGCAGCAATGGCGCGCACGCACGCACTCGCGAGGGGAAGCAAGGAAAACAACGACAAAAGAGTGGGGGGAGGGGAGGGGGGAGTGAAAGTGGATGGAGGCTCAGTTTGTAGGCCTCAACTTCGTCGCTGGCACACCACGTTGCGGTGGAAGTATAAAAGAAAGAAGGAAGAAAAGGAAAAAAAAAAACGCTGCTCACTTCTTGCCGATCAGGTGTCGGCTCACCACGAGCCGCTGAATTTGACTCGTTCCCTCGTAGATGGAAAATATTTTTGCGTCCCGGTACAACTTTTCCACGGGGTAACCGGTGTTGAAGCCGTTTCCGCCAAATATCTGCACCGCGTTCGTAACGCACTTCTCGCAGTGATCAGCGGCGAGCAGCTTCGCGGAGGACGCGTAGAAGGTGTTGGGGCGGCCCTGATCGACCTCCCAGGCGGCGCGGTACACCAGCAGACGTATCGCCTCGATCCCGGCGGCCATGTCCGCCAGCATAAACGCAACGGATTGATGCTCTGAGATGTACTTTCCCATCGACTTGCGCTGCTTCGAGTAATCCCGGGCCTCCTCCATCGCACGTCGGGCGACACCCACCGCACTGATTGCCACCGGTGGACGGGTGAAGTCAAAGGCACGCATGGCAATCTTGAAGCCGTCTCCGGGGCTTCCAAGCACGTTCGCCGCAGGAATGACAACATCCTCAAAGACAATCCCACGTGTGTCACTGCAGCGTTGGCCCATGTTGATCTCCTTTTTCCCAGGCGTGATCCCCGGCGTATTCGCATCCAGCACGAAGCCAATAAACCCCTCATCCGAGTTGGCGAGCAAAAAGTACCAGTTTGCCACACCACCATTGGTGATCCACATTTTTTGTCCATTGACCACGTATGCGTCGCCCTTCTTCTTGGCAAAGGTCTTAATTCCAGCCACATCTGAGCCAGCCACGGGTTCTGTAACGCAGTACGCCGCTTTCAAAGGTTCTTCCAACATGCGTCCAAGGAAGTTTTTCTTCTGGGCGTCGTTACCGGCAATAATAAGTGGCGCCTGGGCGAGGCTGTTCGACTCGAAGGCGGTGGAGACGCCGGAGCAGCCCCACGCAAGTTCCTCCTGCACCAGAACCCCCTCCAAACAGGAGGCGCCGAGCCCGCCATACTCCTGCGGGATGTGCATGTTTATAAGCCCGAGTGCCCAGCCCTCCTTGAAGAGCTCATCTGGGTACTCCATTGTCTGATCCAGCTTGGCTGCCGCCGGAGCTATTTTCTCCCTGGCAAAGCGGCGAGCGAGGTCCCGCACCTCCCTCTGCTGCTCGGAGAGCTCAAAGCAGATGCTAGGACCGGCGGCACCCGCAGCCGCAAGACGCAGCGCCGTACGCCGCATGAGGGTGTGAGACGCACGACGAAGCATGCCCCCCTTTTTGTTTGTTGCTGTTTTTTGTTTGGCTCCTTTGGTTGGTTGGCGGGTTGCACTCGCAAAGTTGTTACCCCTTTTCTTCTTGTGGCGTAGCTGCCGCGAGAAGGCGCACGGCCCGTCGCGCGTGCGTGCGTGTGCGTGGAGAGGGTGAGGGTAGCGGACAGGCGAAAAGGAGGAGGAGGAGGAGAAGGAGAAGGTGGGCGGAAAACAAAACACGAAACAAAAACAATGGCGCGCGGGCGGCAAAAATAATAATAATAATAATAATAATAATAAATAAATAAAAAGCAAACGCCAAATAACTCTTCACCGTGCGGCAGACACACTGACTCACACACGTGGCGAAAACACAAAAGGGGCGAGCGCACAGACAAAGCACGAACGACGTGTAGCGATGGCGTGGGCATCTTTTATTTTTTTTTCCTCCTCGTTCTTTTGAGCGCAGTTATTACAATGCAACCACGCATATCTCTCCTTACCCTCACTCTATGGCTCCTGCTTTCATTTTACCTCCGCACAGACGCCCTTCTACGCCTCCTCGCTTTTCTCCCCATCCCAGGCATCCAAGTGCCTTTCGTACGGCTTACGAGGCCACGAAGTACTCGTCGCCTACGGTCCACAGCTGAATCGACCGCACGGACGCGGCCGGCTCACCGCCCTCCAATCGCACGTCACTTGGGCAACCCGCAGCCGCAGCGGCATCGCAATAACCGTTCGACCGCGCGTTGAGAAGCAGAAGTGACTCCTTGAGGCCAAAGGTGGGGCAGAAGGTGCTGCAGGACACAGTGGCGAGGTCATCGTGAAGAAAAATTGCGGGGCCCTTGCCACCGCCGCCAACGGCGATGCTGCCATTGTCGCAACGCATAAAGTAGTGATTCGCCGCATTTTCCGGGGCCGTGAAGATGCACAGCTCCCCGTCCGAGGAGGAGGAGTAGGAAGAAGAGGAGGAGGAAGAGGAGGAGGGCGGCGGCACGCAGAAGAGAAAGCTTTCCTCGGTGCCAACGTACCGCTTGTTTGACGCCTGCGGGATGCAAGAAACGTAGGCCCCCAGCAATATATTCCCCTCACTGCCTGCGGAAATTATCAAGATCGCAGGCCGCTCTTTGCCCCGCGCCCTTCTAAGCTCCTTCGTGCAACTGTTCTGCAGCGCGACGCGCGAAAAGCCGTGAAGGCCGCTGCAGAACAACAGACGCCAGCGTCTGCTTTGCACACGCGCGGGGAGGTGCCGCTGCAGCGTGAGAAACTGCTTGCCAGTGAGCAGGATGCTCGGCGTCATGGCGGTGTCCCGCTTCAGGTAGACGTCCGGCTCCACCTCCTCCAGCGCCGCACCCACCTCAAACTGCGGCGCTGGGGCCTCTCGCGTCCCCTCCGCGCCCCCCGCCTTGGCGGACTGTGAAAACGGAAGGAAGCGTGCGAAGTTGTTGCCCATCGGATGAAATTCTTCTCCAGACACGACCTCCTACCGGCACGGTCGCCACACCTACGCGGCTATATAATTTCTTTTTTCCTTCACGTCGATCCCCTTCAGAGCACCCGCTTCGCAGGCACACATACAACCTATGCAAGAAGCAAGAGAGCCAAAGCCAAAGCCAAGCCAAAGCCAAGCAAACAAACGACAGTAAGAGCAACACTCAGCAGTTGTAATGAAAGTAGCAAAAAAAAAAACAGCGTGCGTGTGTGAGACGGACTGCGAGACGGGGATGGCCCATCAGCAAGGCAACCATCACAGACGCATGGACAGTTGTCTGTGTGTGCGGGCGCACATACGTGTGAGCTGAAGCAGCAGCACACCACACACACAAATGCGGAATGTTGTTAATATGTTTAGCACGTCTCGCAGGCTCAAGGCATCGCAATATTAATTGCGCATAAAATCATTGGAGAGTCCGGGAATGGGCGGGCACAAGACGCAAGGGTGAGCCCCAAAGAGAACTATTTTTCAGCAGGTCACTTAAAATGGGGCACGAGAACAAGAAGAGAGAAAAAAGACGCCGACGACGAGAAAGCATTGCACTGACCCATGTAACTCCCAACCGGCCGCAGCATTGCATCACCCATCAATCACGCGCGCACGTTTCTCCTGTGCGTACACTTACTCAAGTCTCACTGTCCCCGAATTTTTCCCCTCACTCCCACTTACTCGCTCCTCAGCAGTGTGCTCCTTCGCGGCATTCGTCGCCGATGCAGCCACTGCAGCAGCTGTTGCTGGTGGCGGCGCAGTGGGGCAAAGCTGAAAATGAAAAGTTACGCGATCCGGGGGAAAGTGGCACTTAAATTTGATTTCCTTGCCCTCTGTGAAGACCACAGGCGTCGGAAGCGGGCCGTTGGCGGCGTCCAGCAGCTGAAGTGCCTGGCCCCACTGCATGTCGCGTGGGAAGTTGTTGAGCGTGTCGTCTGGATCTGTCGACATGACGAGGTCGCCGTCAAACGCCTTCCAGTAGAACAGCATTGCGTGCGCCGTCCCGCTACTGGTTGCCTTGACGCCAATGTCCATTTTGGTGGGGATGTCCTGGCGGACTGCCGTCGCAAAGTCCACGGAGAAGAGGGAAATCGGCTCACTCAGGCGACGGAAGGGAACGCTGCTCATGCGAAAGCCGTACTGTTTCGCAAACACGATGCTGACGGTGTCCTGCAGTGCCGTCATGTGGCTCAAGTCCAACCCTTTCCAACCCGAGACGGCACAGACATCGCCTAATGTGCTGCATTCGATCGGAACCGCGTACTGTGTCCCGTGTTGTGGAATAATCTTCGTCGTTGGCTTCAGCAGCCGCTCCCGCGCATCGGCAATGTAGTCAAGGGCCGACTCCCCCAGCAGCAACGTGCCAAAGATTTCCGACACCAGGACATCAGGCCGGTCTGGCAGGTGGCGCAGTGTGAGCTCGGTACTCAGCATGTGCAGAATGGTCACCTTGTGCTCCAGCTTGTTGGCACACACGTTGGCGCGTGCCAAGTTCGCCATCTCCGCGCTCCCCTCCACGGCCACGACCCATTTGGCCCCGAGCTGCGCGGCCATCAGCGACAACAGCCCCGACCCCGCGCCAATCTCCAACACACCCGTTTCAGGTGTCACGTGACGTTTTAGGAGTTCATAGTAGAACTCATTGCGGGGTTTGTCGTTCATCATGGCGTAGTGGAAGTCGTTCACCGCCTCCACGAGCGAGGTTGGCGCGCGCCGCAGGCGTCCTGGCACGGGAATACTTTGATGAAAGTGGTACACAAAGGCATCCGAGCGGTTCCCCGGCGCTGTGTAGGCAGTGGCAGTGCCAGGGGGAAGGAAGCCAATATCACGCTGCGCCGCAGCCCCCTGCCCCGCGGTGGACGGCTGCTTGTGGCCGTTTGACACATTATTCTGCTGTTTTCGCTTCTTCTGCTCCTTTGCAGGCATTTCCTTCGTCTGCAGTAGAAAAAGGGAAGAGAAAAGGGGACTAAACGCGCTCCGCGTTGTGCGCAACTTGGGCTGGGTATGGTGTCAATTCCCCTGCTGCTTCTTCGCACGTCGATCCTTCCCGAACTCAGAGACCTTCGCCTGTCCGGCTGCCTCTGCTGCGGTTGCTGCGCTTGCTGCGCTTGCTGGGCGCGGCGGTGTTAAGTTTATTTACTTTTTGGTTCTCCTTGTTCCTTTTCCTTTTGTTTTTTTTTTTCGTTTCCTTGACGGTACTTCGGAGGGCTTCGGTCTCCGGCCTCCGTGCGTATGGCCGTGCACCTCGCGCCCCGCTTCCCCTCAGAGGGTCCTGCGCAGCAACGAGGACGCGAGAGTTTCAAAGAGAAGGAGGGGAAGAGAAAAAGAAAAGAAAAAGAATAAAACAAACAAACAAAAAACAAACTACACGGGGAACACGCACGCACGCACGTCCCTCACGCGCACGGGCTCAGAGAAGCGGCGCCCAAAGCAAACGAGAGGCGGAAAAAAAAAAGGGAAGAAGAAGAAGGAGGAGGAGGAGGAGGAGAAGGGGGGAAAAACAACAACAACAACAGCAACGCAGCGCCGCCCAATACGCAGCATCGCCTCCCTCCCCCACGCACGCCCCCCTCACGCAGTTCCTTCACCCCCTCCTGAGGCGGCAAGAGCCCACGCGGCCACACGGTCACGCGCCAGTAAAACGAATTAGAGAAAAAAGAAGAAAAAAATAAAAGGTTTTTGGATAAAAAGCAAATATTCTTGGGGCAGAAAAAGGGGAAGAACAAAAATCATGTATTTGCTTCAGTGGCACATTCTGCGTTAAGCAAACACGCAGAATGCAATATAATGAGATATATATATATATATAAGCGGATAGTAACAAAAGAAGAAAGAAAAAAACTACGGGTTTGAGTTTCCTCTCTGTATTGCTCTATGACTCTATAATTTATGTATCGACGAATACATATTATGCGGGCGCATGCGCCGTCTCTCCTCACACCCGCGCTTCCTCTTCTCTGGTGTGGGCACTTCGCTCTCCTGCCTCTCCCTCCCTTACTCCATCCCTCTCTCCCTATTTCCCTCGCCGCGGCGCTTTAAGCAGAGTACTTACAACGGTTAAACATTAAACAGCCATCTTCATGGAGATGGTGGGGTACGGGGTGTAGTCAATGACCTCCATGTCTTCCGCCTCGTAGTCCTCGAGGAACTCGCGCTCGCGGTGGAAAATGAGAAACGGAAAAGGCCGAGGCACACGTTTGAGTTGCAACTGGCACGGCTCGATGTGATTACTGTACACGTGGGCATCGCCGAGGCTGTGGACAAATTCGCCCGGTCGCAGTCCCGTCGCCTTTGCGATGAGGATCGTCAACAAGGCGTAGGACGCAATGTTGAAGGGAACGCCCAGGCCCATGTCGCATGAGCGCTGGTAGAGCATGCAAGACAGCTCCCCATCACGCACGTGGAACTGCCCAAGCAAGTGGCACGGCGGCAGGGCCATCCTGGGCAGCGCACTTGGATTCCACGCCGTGAAGAGCGCCCGTCGATCGTCGGGGTTTGCCCTGAGCGTTTCAACAATCGCCTTGATTTGGTCAACGCCTTTTCCGTCATAGTTGGCGTCGTGGCGTGTGTAGTCGGCGCCAAAGTGGCGCCACTGAAAGCCGTAGACAGGGCCGAGGTCCATCTCCTCGTAGTCTGTGAGGCCACGGCTGTCTAGAAAGGCGCGGGAGCCGTTGCCGTCCCAGATGTGGACCCCCTTGTCGCTTAGCTTCTTTGCGTACGTCTCGCCTCGCAGAAACCACAGCAGCTCCTCGCACACGCCGCGCCAGAAAACGCGCTTCGTGGTCAAAAGTGGTAGGCGGTTGTTGCGAAGCGAAAAGCGCATCTGTGCGCCGAAGAGGGAAACGGCGCCCACCCCAGTGCGTTCCCGCTTCAAGGCTCCCTCGCGTATGATGCGGTCAACGAGGCCCAGGTACTGCTCCTCCTCGCGGTTGCGTGGAATCAGCTTCTCAATGTAGTAGTTCGTCCCCTCCGCGTTGGCCGACGTGAGCTCTGTGGTGATGCTCTCCCGCCGCCACTCAATGCCCCCCGCCACCTCCGTCCCCGTCTCGGGGAGGTTAAAAAACACGCTGCAAGACGGACCACTGGTGCAGATGGTGGTGCGATGAATGGCCTGCAGCACCCCAACGCACGGCGAACGGATGGCCTCGGCGTACACGGAGCCACCACCGATGCAAAAGACCGTTTCAATGCTCCGCGTGTAAATGGGGGCGGCGAGCAGCCGCAAGGCCTGTTCAAGTCCGCCGTTCACCGCCACAATGTTATTTGCAGCCGCCTTCCGCTTTTCCTCGTTCGGCAGGCCGTCCAGCAGCTGCTGCGTCGTCAATTTCGACGACAGGACGACGTTGAGGCGACCGGGGAGTGGGCGGAAGTTGGGTGGAATACTATCCCACGTCTTGCGGCCCATCACCACGGCGTTGCGCTTCGCAGGCGAGGGCTTCGCCTTCTTTCCCCGCAGCTTCGTCGTCACTTCCCTGAAGTACTTCATGTCCTCCGGCACGTTCCACGGTATCGACCGCCCATCGCCGATGCCGCCGTGCTGGTCCACCGCCACCACCAGAGAGAAGGCACGCATGGCAAGGCGTGTGCCCTCCCCCGCCGTCTCCGGCATACGGATCTTGTACAAAGACATGGCCCACACGCAAGCAAAGAAAAGTGCCCCTAGCCCTCTTTATTTTCCCCCTCCCCTTATAATGTGTTCCAATGTGTATGGTCTATATATCTATGTGCGTGCGTGCGTGTGTGTGTGTGTGCGTCGCAACTTGTTAATTAGTGTAGCACTGCCCCGTTCTTCTTCTTCCTAGGAGGGAGAGTAAACCCCAACAGACAAAACGAAGTCGCTTAGAAGGTTGCACCACATATTCAGCCATCAGAATACACACACGCAATAATAATAGTAGTAGTAGTAGTAGTAATAATAACACTCAACCACAACCCTCAAGGAAGAGGCACGCGATCCTCTGATATCACATGGAGCAGCGAATGTCCTCTTGGCCGCAGGGCCTCGAACTCCGTCAACACAGACACCAACACAAACGCGCGCACGCACCCGCACCCGGCTAGCCAGTAGCAAGAAAGTAATCCGCGGGATTAACACCCCTCCCCCGTAATTGGCGACAGGGAATTTAATGGGGTTTTTAGAACGTCATACTTTTTTTCTTCGCTTTATTTTACCGTTTTTTTTTTTTGCGTTATGGTGATTTCTTCGTTTTTCTTCCTCTTCTCGCCTCCCTCCATCGCGCAGCAGTGCCGTAGTTGCCTGCCTACCCCACCCCGCATCCACCGTCCATCCATACATCACTGACGGAAAGAAGCCCAATCCAATACGCAAACCTGCATATATAGCACGCGACGTGTAGAGAGAGAACTTTACGTACCCCCCCCCCCTCCTCTCACACACACACACTCATGAGTGTCTGTGTCTATGTATGCGTGTGTGGCCTCCTCCATTCGTAGGCAGCCACGGGTATGCCGCGCCCATCCGTCCATAGAGGGTATTCACGGGGGCGAAAGAGAGAAATAGGAGGCGGGGGAAAGCGGAGGAACATTTCCGCGTCTCTGCGCCTCTCGTCCCCTCTCTCTCTTTCTGTATCTGGTGCCGGCGTGGCCTCACGCCGGGAGCGGCAGAAGAAAATGCACCTCAGCTATCAACATTTATAGTTTTTTCTGCCTGATTTCACCCACCACCACCACCCCACTTCTCAGTAGCCGTCCGCATCGGCGTCCGACAGCGACGCCAACGCACACTCCATGCGGGACCACTGCTGCCGCCTGTTGAGCACCAGCGCCAGCGGGAGGCGCAGCGACATCGCGATGGCTATGAGGTGGGAGTCGGGCCGCAGCCTTGTGCCGGACGAAAGTTTCCGCGCCATCCAACAGCAGAGTTCCTCGAAGGAGATGACGCCGGAGCGTGTCTTGTTAAGCATGCGAAAGATGCGCGGGGCGTGTCGCACAATCTCGGGCCGGTCCCGCACAAACACGTCATGTGCGTACTTGGTAAAGTTGTGGAAGTCCAGCGGACCGTACTCTGCGACGATGCACTCATAGGCGTGCGTCACGAACGCCACACTCTCGCGGGCGCAGGGCAGGAAGGGAAAGACCGTCGCGGGCACACCAAAGACCTCCTCCAGCTGGTTCGACCCCTGCGTGGTGAGCATGGCGTTGCAGAACGTGATGCGGTGCTCCAGGACAAACTCCCGCGCGTAGTAAAGCTCGCGCAGCACGTCATGGATGTCCTCCTCCTCGCAGCCGTCCACCCCGTTCTCGGCGCTCCGCACGCGCGCGCACGTGCCAGCGGCCGGTGGGGCGTCGCGCTTGCCATCGTCGTCCAAGTGGCGCCGCTCGACCGCCTCGCGCAGCGCCGGGGTGACAGGCGTGTAGCGCAGCGCAAAGCGTGCAAAGAGGGCCTCGACGAACTCCACCAGCGACCCGCAGTGGTGCACAAGAACCGCCTGCGCCACCACTTCATCCACGACACGGGCGAAACTTATCACGGCGTCGCCCTTCGCCGCCGCGACGTCCAAGACGTACAACTCCGCCGTCGCTCGCCGCGAACGACGGCTCGCACGCCACACGCTGAATGCATGCATCTTCAGCGTGTCAGCGGCGAAGAAGTCGGGGCGGGCGAGTGGCGTTTGAAGCACCACATGAAAAAACGCCTCGTGGATGGCGTCGTAGATAAATTGATCTTCGCCCTGGGATGTCAACGAGCCCGCGTCGTCGGCGGCAGCGGCCTCCCCGTCGCCATCCTCCACCAGCCACGAGTTGGAAAACATCGCGGCATTGACGTCGATGACGTCGCCAAGCAGCGCAACGCTAGCGTCCTCGCCCGCCCTCCCAGACGACAGGGAGGGGTTTACCGAGCCCGCGCGCTCCATCGACATCAGCGCCTCCGGATCGGAAAAAACGCTTTTATGCCCTCGCTGCGTAGAAGCAGCTGCCAATGACGGCGTCGTCGTCAGAGTCGTTTTGGCCGGCTCATAGCTCGGCTGCAGCTGCTGCTGGTGGTGGCGCAGGTGGTGGTGCTGGTGGTGGTGCTGGGGCTGGCACCGGCTACGTTCCTCCATGAGGGGGAGGTAAAACAACAGCTCCTCCGCGTACGAAGGAAACAGGCGCCGGTTGCCCACGTGAGCCGCGAGAAGGCGGGAGATGTAAGCGGGAAGGTCGCGATAGACGCGCAAGTCCGGAAGTGGAACGCGGCAAAGCACCAGGCACTCCTGCGCCTTGCAGCTCGAGACAACGGCGGCGGCCGCGGCTAAAGAGCACGTCGGCAACTCCAAGGACGGCTGCGGGGCGCTTGCGGCTGCGGCGGCGGCGGAGGAGGAGGGGGACGCCGACACCGCCGTGGCCGCCCGCGTGTATTCCCTGTGAAACTCAGCTGTGCGAAGCTCAATGAGAAGCACCTCGTCGAGCTCCGCCACCGTCTCCGTCACGAGCGCAAAGGAGGGCTTCAGCTGCTTCTGCAGCGGGAGCAGGAGGGAGTGGTACAGCGCCGCGTCGTGCGGGTTGGCGGTGCGGAGCACCACGACGGAGTCGGCGCACGCGGCGCCGCGGAGCCACTGCAGGAAGCGCTGCAGCCTGCCGGCATTTGCTCGCGTGCGGTGGCAGAGGTCGTGCAGCGTCGCGCTGGGTGCCGGACGCCGCGGGCAGCTCGCGGTGCGGCGAAGGAGCAGCAGGCAACCCACCGCCAGCAGCGCACTCGCAGTGAGGCCCACGCCCCGAGAGAGACGCCGCATTGATTCCGGCGCAAACCTAAAAAAAAATAATAATAAATAATAGTAATAATCCAGCCGCGTGTACAATGACGCCGCGCCGTCACAACAAAAGTCCCGCCTCCCCCCGCTTCTCTTCCGTTGGGTCCGCGTTGTGTCAAAACTGTGAGTGGCAGCCGCCAGAAAAGAAAAAAAAAGGAGGGATTTTGCGTGTGCGTGGCGCCGCGCCCCGCAGAAGACGCCCCTCCCTTCCAACCGAAACCAAAAAGAAGGGGGGAGAAGGCGAAGGAGGTGGTGTGTCCCAGCCGCGCACAGGCCCACAGAAAGGCAACACGCCCAAGCGGAACACAATATACGGCAGCCACCTCGACGAGGCCGCGTCACCGCGCCGCACGTAGACTTTTATAGTTTACTTCCCCCTCTGTGTGCGTGTGCGCAGCGCCCTTCCGCGGAACCCCGGGACGCAGCCGGCGCCGCCCCCGCGGACCGACACACCCACACAAAGACAGAGAGAGCACAACAACAACAGGAATGAAAGAAGGGGGAAACAAAAGCAAAAAAAAGCCAACAACACATGGACGCGCTGCTGCATCGCCATTGGCGTCCCGCCGTCTCGCCGGCGCCTGCAACTGCTGCTTCTCGTTGCGTTTTTCCACGTAATGGGCGGCGTCGGAAACGAGGGGTTTACGCGCTACTTGACTCCTTCACGTGCCTCAGGAGGTTCTGCATCAACGACGGCACCGCCTTCCCTGCGCCCCGTTCAATCCCAGTGAAGAGAATGGCGTCGCCGTACGGGTCGTCTACGGCGCTGGCGTCGGTTGCCGCGCGCGGCTCGGCGTTGTCCCCCTCGGCCTCCTCACGCCCACGCTTCCGGGCGGCCTTCGCGGTGGCTGCCGCTGTTGTCGTCGCCGTCCCCTCTTGCTGCTGGCTGTCCAGCTGCGTGATCTCGCGCAGCTTCTTAATGTACCCGGAGACACGCTCCAACTTCAGTTGCACCCGTGCATCCATGCCCGCCTTCCCCGCCGCATTCCGCAGTCTGTCATGGGAGTAAGTCAGCAAGACGAGCGCAAAGGCCGCGGCGAGGGAGATGCGGGCCTGCTCGTCCACACTGTAATTTGTCACCAGCACGTCCTCGTTGAGGGACGCCAGCAACGGCAGCAGCTCCGACTGCATGCGGAGCAGCGTCGCGTCCATCCTGCGCATGAGCGACGCAACGTCCTCGTCGAAGTCCATGCCGCCTCCCCCTCTCCCCCGCTTCCCCGCGCTATCCTTTTTCTTCCGGAGAGAAGGCGAAAAGGCAACCAGTGCAACAGTAGTCGGGGAGGTGCACACAGGGGCGGAGAATCAACTAAACACACACGCACACACGCAGAGAGAAAGAAAGAGAGAGGGAGAGAAAGAGGGACTCTCGCCCTCTCACCCACACGCACTTACTTACAAATACGCAGATGCATTACAAATGTTCATGAAGTGAGTCGGAACGAAAGAAAACGAAAACAAAAAAAAAGAGGAGATAAAACGGCGCCAAGAAGGAAGAAATAAGGAGTGGCGCGTATCATCATCTTGCGGCTAAATGTCATACTCCGTGTGGGTAGAACCACACGACGTGGACATCACAGATACCGCTGCACAAAAGCACCCGCTGCGACACCAGCAGAGGAGGCAGCGTCGGAGGACCCGCACCCCAGCGGACGCCCTTTGTACGCGCCGCTTGTCTGCCGCCCGCGCCCCCTCCGCCTTTGCCGCAAAGTTGGTGTACCAGCCCCCGTACCATTTAGTAGCAACCACAACACGCCCGAATAACGTGCAGACGGGCATTATATAAATTTATGTATTGACTTCATCTCGCAGACAAGATCAGGCAACTTTGCCGCTGCTCGACCCTTCACCTCCCCTTACGAGGCCAGGGGAGACGCAACTCAACCACACGCACACACACACACACGCACACGTATATATATATATATATATATTACATCAAAGTGAAGAAAAAAAAGGAAAGAAAAATATAAACACGCTGAACTACGTCAACCCTTTTTTGCCTTGCACCGTTACGCGCCCCTTTGCTGTGAAAGCGGAAGAAAAGAAGGAGGATGACGTGCTGCATTCCACGGCAAAGCCCCTCAAAAGAGCCAGTTGTGCAAGTAGAAGTCGCTTTGCTTGGAATTGCCGCTGCAGCCACCGGCCGGCGAAAGCGATGATCATGATGCTCCAGCCACACACACTCACACATACACAAACACGCATACTCACGGCCAACGCCCCTACGTTCAGCTGCTGAGGCTTGCATTTTCACTGCCAACTTAAGCAATTTCCTTCCCAAACCCTTCCAGTGCGGAACCGGCTTCGGCCAATCGTGCCAGCGCCTGCGCAGTCCCATCAGTCTTTGGAACACCAGCGTCAAGCGCAGCTGCTGCTGCTGGCTCAGTCGCTCCAAAAACAGGTTGGGCCTTAACTTCATCTTCACCCTTTTGGCTAGACCCAACACTGGTATTATTCTGGCTGCTTGTGCCAAGGCTGAAGGTCAACCATCTGCGGGCTGTTTGTGGCTTCTGCGGTTTCGCCTCGTTAGAAGCGTTATCGTCTTCCTTTGCCTCCTTTTTTGCAGTCACGAGATCAGCCGGCGGAACACGCCAGTACAGAAATGAGTGAAACTCCTGATCAATAGCCACCTCCACATGGCCCTCGAGCGGCGCGGTGGCGACCGTTGCATGAGGCCGCCGGGTGTTGCCTTCCGCGGGAACTCCCGCGTCAACCGAGGGAGCGGAGGTTACACGTCGGCCATCACCGCAGGACGACGACGGCGACTCGCCCCCATCGGAGGAAAAGGGAACGTGCGAGCCGCCCCCCGCCGTCCCCGTTACGGCGGCAACCGAGCCATTGGTGCTCAGTTCAGCGTCGGCGGAGCCGCGGGGCGCCGACGGATGCCCACATGTCTCCCGCTGCCTCAAGGGATGATGGTGATGCTGTTGAGCTCGCTTCACAACAGGCGGAAAGGTCACGTCAACAAGGTGAGCGAGGTTCTTGTAGGTTTGCTTTACGTTATATACATGCAGCACGCTGTTGGGGTCAATGATAAAGATCTTGTGCTGTGGGATTTGGGTGGCGGTGTAGCTCACCACGTCGCTGAAGCGGTTGCCGAAGCCGGCGTAGAACGGCTTACTGTGCGGAGGGAATGTGTCCAAGACGCTTCTGAGGCATGCAATTTTGAATACGTGCGACTTCTTTGAGACCTCCTGCGTCAGCGCAGTGAAAAAGCGCTGCGGGGCCGTCAGCACAGGGCCCTTTGGCAGACGACAACCATCCTGTTCAATTTTCCACAGGAAATTACGCGTCATGCCCACCTGCGACACGCTTCTGGCGGTGAGGTAGACAAACTTGTACCCATTGCGGTCAATCTTGCTGTAGAGAGAGCAGATGCCCGGATGCGTCCAGTCTCGGCCAAAGAGTGGCATGAGATGACCCCATAAGTCACTTTTCGTGATCGTGCCGTCCACGTCACTCACAACAAGGCGATCGGTGCTGTCCCACAGGTAAACATTGGCCTCCACCGCCACCTCACCGCGCAGTGCACTGTGTGTAATGTACCGCACCTTGTTGTGCCCGTCTACTAAGTTTAGCTTGCGCAAGTCCGCCTCGGTGGGGATAAGCGTTCGAGTGAAGTAGACCACTTCGTTTTCCTCTTCGCTTGCCTCATCGGCAGGGTGGGCACTGTGGGGGTCGGCTGGTGAGGACCCGACTACCGGCATCGCGGAGGGGCCGCTACTCCCCGCCTCATGACCCGCAGGGGCCGTCGACGGGCCCTCGCCTGCGTGGTGGCTGTCGAAGTTCACCACGTACTCATCGGGGTGGACAGCGTCCTCGAAAAGGTAGTCGTCGTCCAAGGTGTCAAACCCCTCGTCACTTGCAGCGAGGCTTGTCGCAGGATCTGCGACGCCACTGTGATTCGGCGTCGCGAAAGATTCCGGGCGCACCTCCCCCCCTCCGTCCGCCGCCCGCAGCGGCGGTGTTTCTCCTGCACCCTCCGCCGCTTCATGCTGAGCCTCAACGGGGACGATGACTGGTTTCTCGTCGTCTTCGCCAGCGGCCGCGCTCGGGCGGTCAACCGCGTCGACTAGTGACGCCTTCTCGGAGGCTTCAGAGCGGCTCTCCAGCTTGCCCATTTCACGTGAGAGTATCCCCTCCCTCTCCTCCTGCAGCGCCGCTTCACGCAGGTACTCGTCATACTCTATGGTCATTTGCGCAATCCGCTGCATTGCCATCTTCGCCGCGACAACCGTCTCCTCGGCGAGCTGCACCTCTTTGAGGTCATCCACCGACTTCCGCGCCACCGCATTCACCTTGAGATGCCCCTCATTGTCCTCCTCCAGAAGAGGCCCCGTCGCAGCAGTGCTGTCTGACTTCGCCTCAGTGGATGACGACGACGACGACGCCGCCGCCGCCGGGAGGGGCTCCGTCGGCGGCAGAGCCTCCAAGCTTCCGGCCGCACTGCTGTTGCGGCTGCCACGCTGCTGGCTGCCGCTGCCACCTGGAAACGCCGCGGCGGAGGCAAGCGGCGACTCGGGCCTTCCGACGCCTCCCTCGGACGCACGCGTCGGCTGAAGCCAAAAGGCCTCGCCGTCCGGACCCGTCTTCATCACGGCCGAGGTCGGCCTGTCGTTCACCTCCACCTGCACCACCTTGTCGCTCGGGCGCAGGACCTTCACCTTGCCAAACCGCACGTTAAATGGCGTGCTGAAGAGCCTGCCATCGGAGTGACGCACGACGATGACGTCGTTCGCACCGCTCGCCATGTCGAGGTTGTTGAGGCTAAGGAATCCGCTGATGCTAGAGATCATCCTGGAACACCTGACACTTCTCTGCTGCTGACGGAAAACACAGAAAGATGGGAAGGGAATGCAAGGGAGAAAAAAAGGCATCCGGTAACACTACGCAGACCACGCCCATCTTCACTGCTGTTGTTGTCGATGCAAGATCCACGAAGAAGTGCCGTCGCACAAAGAGTTTACACGTGTGTGCAAAGCATGTGTGTGTGTATGTGTGTGTGCGTCGCGCCACACCCTACATCTGGGTGTGTGCCTGCAGATGAGCTCGTGGTGGATGCATATTCGTGCGACCGATGTCTCCCACGCCCTCTCTACGGAGGATACAGGTGTTTTGTTTTGCTGCGTTTCGCTGCTTCCTTTGTTGTTGTTGCTGTTGTTTTACATCTTGAAATAAACAAAAGATGCTCCTCCGTCACCTCCGCAGCGAGTTGCGTCAGAGGAGGCTGACAATTGCCACACCCCCGCCGTTAATGTCGCCTCATATTTTCTTTTCCCGCAGGAGTCATCCGCGGCAGCCCGCCGCGCCAGTCGCGCCGGGGAAAAGAGCGCACAGCCACCGCACCTCCTTGTATACGCGCGTAGAGAGAGAAAAAAAAGAAAAGAGAGCGCGCGGGAAGGGAAGGATGGAAAGCCACATGCAGAGACGCGGCGGCGGAGGGAGTCAGCTCCACGTGAATCACACAGGGCCACACACGCACACACACCCCTGCTCGCACGCAACGCCACGGCGTACGACAGTGCCACGCATCGTGGAAGAGATGTGCAGGGAGGGAGAGGTATATAGGTGCATGGACGCCGTACCGCACATCCGCGGCCCGCTGCTTGTTGCCACTCAAATTGCAATTCCCCAGGCGCCTCACGACTTGAGCAGGACGGCGATTGCGGCGACCACGCCAAGCAAGAGTGCACAGCAGAAGGCGTACATAAACCAGTCGCATTTCTTCTTCTCCGCAAGGAGCTTGCGCAGCCGCGCGTTCATCCTGCTGAGCTTTGTGTGGGTCGTGTTCACTTTTCCCTCCACGTCGTCCAGGAGTTCCCGCTGCGTGTGCAGCTCGGAGGTCACATTCAGCGCATTCTCATGGAGCCGTGAGAGGCCGTATGCGATGCGGTCCAACGCGGCCTCGGCGAGGTCGTCGTTTCGCCGCACCTCATCCGCAAACTCGAGGAACTCCTCGTCGGACACGGTGGGGCGCGGCGCGGCGGCGGCGCACCAGTTGCCCGTCCCACGGCCGCGACCGCCACCACTCCCTGCAAGCAGTGGGACGGTCAAGTCTGCGGCCCCGCTCCGCATGGGTGGGGGCGCGTACGCATCCTCGGCGACGCCCAGCGCGACACCGGTGTCAGGCTGCGGCAGGTGTGCCGCGGCGGTCGCCGGTACAACGCGAAAGCACTCGCGGTACCACCGCTTGGCGCTCTCCACGTGCCGCAACAATTCCTTCAGGTCGGCCTCGTACTCGCCGCCCTCACGCCGCGACGCACGTTGGGCCTCCTTCACAAGCCTGTCGAGCTGCTGGTGGGCGCGCCGCACCGCCTGCCGCGCCCGCGCCAACTCCGCCCGACCGCCGCCGCCGCTTTCGTTGGCGCCATCGCCGTCGGTGCCTGGCGTGTCTCCCTCGAGCTCCAGCACCTCCCGCAGCGAGTGGCGCAGCGCCGCGATGGCCTCCACGCAGTGGTACTCCGCCTGCTTGTAGGCGGAGAGCTTTGAGAGCCGCCGCCGAATTTCATCGTCGAGCGCCGCCTGCGATGTCGTGCTCATTTGGCGGCCGCGGGCCTATGAGGACGCGGCGGGGCGGCGGGGAGGGGAAAAAAAGGAAGGAGAGCGACGCCAAAGGCAGCGCTGCACGGCCCTGTCACGCCCCAAGCAGCGGAAAGCAAATAAAACACGTTTCTTTCTTTTTTCCCCTTTGTGTGTGGGTGTGTGTGTGTGTGTGTTTGTGTTTGCCGCAAATCCCCAGGGACCCCTCCACCACTAGCACCTGCAACACGCACACACGTCAGACCAGTACGCGAGAAGGAAAAGAAAAAAGGAGAAAAGAAAAAGGAGGAGGAGGAGGAGCCGCAGACACGCAGGGTGCGCCCACGCCATCCGTCCCCACCCAAGTGCACAAACGGCACGACAAAAAAAATAATTACATGTCTTACTTTTCGTATCCTCTTCGTTCTATTTTTATTTTTCTTCGCTGTGGCTGCGTGGCTGCTTTAATGCGCCCCCACGCGGTGCGGTGGGGTCCCCCCCCCACACACGCACTGCGGCACGCGCGCGCGAGTGGGCAGAGGGCGAGAGCCCCAGGAATAGCCAAAAAAAAAATGGCCGCGCAAGAACGCACCAAAAAGAAAACTCGGTTTTGTGTGAAGAGCGGCCGCGTGCGCTTCTCCCCAGCGGCCCTCGCCGCAATGACACGTGTCACGCGCACGACGAGGCGGAGGATGAGGAAGCGACGACACTCCGTAGAAGGGCAACGGCTGCCGTGTAGCACCTCTTCCTGCTTGGCCCGTCGACGGCCTCTTCCGGCCCCTCCTCCTCCACCGCCGCCGCTTCCTCCTCGTGCTCCTGCGGGTGCTGTCGCCTCGTCGCATCATCGGCCACGTGGAGGCTTGTTAGCATCATCTGCGCCGCGGCAGGGGCGATGAGGCGGTGCGGCTCATGCAGGCGCAGAAGAATGCCGTAGAGCAGTGGCAGCGGGAACCGCTCCGTGTCGTTGCCCATGACTACAGCGACGTGGGCGAGGAAGCGTCGCACCTCCGCCACCTCGCCATGCGGCGGTGCATGTGACGCGTGCCCGTCACCGCCGTGTCGCCGGGCCTCGGCGGATGGGGGCGGCAGAAGCACCATGACAACGTCGTGAATGTCCTCCGCAGTGGCACTTGGCAGCATGTCCGTGAGCAATTCAAGGGCAGTCACCGCCTCTGCCCTCCTGCCGCGCCGCCAACTGTCCTCGCCCCACCTGTCGCGGGCATCGGTTCCCACGGCATCCCCGGTGTCGCCACGGAGGCACGTCTGTGCAACGCAGGCCAAATCGCGCGGACCGAGTGCCGCAAGCCGCGACCTTGTGGCGGCCAGCGACTCCCCGTCGCGCACCAGGCAACGCATCAGCGCCTCAAAGAGCTGCGTCTTAACAGACCTGTCGATCTGCTGCTGCTGGGACCGCAGTGCGGGGAGTGGAAGCCACACATCTGTGATGAGCGGCCGATCGGTGCCGAAAATGCCCGTTAGGCGGCGATGCGCCTCCATGGAGGGGTCGGGCGCACCAAACGGCGAGTCAAACTCCGGGGGCGCACTACAGTAATCAAATACAGATGATATGTTCTGCAGACGCACGCGCGGCGTGTCAACAGGCGTCGCCGCAGGGGTTTCTTTGCCCCAGTACAGCGGCAGCTGCAACAGCAGCCGGTAAAGATGGCGGTGTGGAAGCTGCACGGCGTCGGCAAAGAGAGCTGGCGCCTCCGCCGGTGCGGGCGACGACGGCGGCAGCTGCAGATGCAGCAGTAGTCGCTGCTCACGAAGCGGCGGATCGTAGGCGTCCAGCAGCCGCAGGAGCTCCAACACCGCCCCAACGTTCAGAACAACCTCCGCCCCTTCTTCAACGCCGCCGGCGGCTGCAGCCGCCTCCTCGCGGTAGTGCAACCGCCGTCGCTCGTCCTGCTCGCGCCGCAGAAATTCACCCAAGTCGGCCGACATTTCTTCCACCAACCCCACCGCGAGCCGCAGGAACGGCCACACGCGCGCATCCGAGAGCGGTGAGGCACTGCCGTCGTACATGCATCGACGCCCACGCGACGCGGGCTCCTGCGCAGACGCCGCCTCGGGAGACAAACACGCGGCCTGACGCAGCAGCTCGCACACAAGCGTTATGAAGTGAAACGCCCCCAAAGCCCGGCGCAGGCATAAAATGGTGTGGTCCGAAAAGGCGTAGAAATAAGCCAAACTGCGACACCGTTTGTCAGCCCTTTCCCCAACCTCGCTGCTTCCCGCGTGCCCCTCCGGCGTCTCCCCAGCGGGTACATCTGCTGCTGCTGCTGCCGCCGCCGCTGCTTCCGCCGTCGCCGGCGCATTTTCTCCGTTCGCGGAGGCTGAGAACGCCGACTTCCCTCTTCGCTGGGCGGTGGCATCCCTGTCCTGTTTGATGGCCATCACCAGGCGGTGCGACGACGGCTCCCCCACGTGGGAAAAGCGCAGAAGCGCCATCCAGTGCTCCAGCTCGAGGCGATTCAAGGATTCGTCCCAGTGAAAGTGTCGCTCCGCCGTGGTGGGCGGGTCCTCGTCACACTTTGCTTCCGGCAGTTCCTTGCGGCGTGCGGAACGCGGCCGCGTGGCGCCAAGGAGGGTCGTCACGCGAAACACAAATAGCTTCTGTAGTCGCCTGCCAAGGGTTGTCCCTTCAAGGGAGGGCAGCAGCATGGCCTGCGCCAGTTGCTCCAGCGGAATGTGCACGTTGCCCCGCTGCAGCAGCTTTCGCGACGCCGCGTGCAGCCGGCGCACGGTCGGGTGCGATGTCTTGACGCTTTGGAGCTGCAAAAGCAGACGGAGCAAAACGTCCCCGGGCACGGTGTAGCTGAATGTCTCATGAATCACTTGCATCGAGGCGGAGGACTTAAGCACAGCCTGCAATAGCCCCGGGTCGTCGCTGCCGATGCACTCCGTTAGCTCCAGCACGACGTCAAGGGGCTCGCGGGACGAGGAGACGGCGGAGAGAATAAGTGGGGTCATTGCGGCAAGCCAACGCTGCCGCAGCTCCCGCTGCCGTAGTCGTCGCACCGCCCGCACTGCGGCATTTACCTGCACGATGGGAACAAAGGCGTTGATCGCGTTGAAGCATTGCGCCTCTGGCAGAAGCTCGCTCAGGCACGCGGCGACCAACTGTGGGCAGTCGCCGTAGAGCTCGAAAAATTGAAACAACTCTAGTGGGCGTGCCGTGCGCCGCGTGAGCTGTGCAACCTTGCGAAGCACCACCGCGAGCACAGCCTCCTCGCGCAGCAGTTCGACCTTCGCTGCACGCAGCAGCCGCAGCGTGGTGACAAGTGTTGCGAAGGTGCGGCAGTACATCCGGGTGACGTGCAAAATCCGCGCCACCTCCTCGTCGCTGCCGCCGGCAAGAAACGGAGAGAACGTCACAATGAGGATTCGCGTGCTGCTGGCAAGCCGCTGCTGCAGCTGCAGGGAGGCAATCATCCAAGGCAAGAGCTGCGGCGGCGCCGCCCCCTCCCGCGCAGTCAGAGAGTCGCCATACGACATGGTCATTGCGGTGGTTGCGAGGTAGTCGGCGAGAAACTGCGCCACCTCCATGCTGTCACAGCGGGAGCCGCACACCGTGTACGCCTCGCGCAGACCACGACGGAGCTGTGCCAGGGGGCCATCCCCCCCGGAGCCGCGGGAGGGCTCCAGCATCATACACGCGTACGCCAGCTCCCTGAGGGGGAGGCGGGCCGTCGCCGCGTGACTCCCTTCCTCTGGGGCCATGGCCGCCAAAACTTGAGCCGCACGGTCGCGGGAGGTCGCAATAAAAGCCAGGACGTGATCCCCCGCCGAAAAGGGCTCTGACTGGTGCAGCACCCAGGTGGCGCTTGCCACAAACATCGCAAAGGCCGAGAAGAAAGTGGCCGCATCCTCACACAACCCCGGCGGTGACCCGGAGGCAGCCACCACCCGCTGGCCGCACCGCACAAGAAGATCATGAAGCAACGGGAGGGCCGACTTTTTCAACTTCTGCGCAAAGGCAAAAACAACCGCGCAGGCGTCGTGCAGAGCCAGCGGTTTGTCCTGCAACGATCGAGCATGCGCCGCGGCAATCACCATACGCCCACCGCCGCCTTCTTCCTCTTCTGCGGTGGCAACCGCCGCGGTGCTCGCCTGGCTGCCGCCAAGACCGACACCGTGCGACGAGGCGGCCGTAACTGCCTCTGCGTGAATCAGCCGCCTGAGCCGATCCCCCACGGAGTGAAAGATGACTGACGGAGGCACGGGGGGTGCACGGAGCAGGTACCCAACGAGGCACGCGTATTCGGACGGTGTCGCCTCCATCTGCCCCACGTGGGAGGAGAGGAGAGTCAGCAGGCGCTCCTGGAACGCCATGAACGGGCGCCAACTCAGGGCGTGGACGCCCTCCGCAATCATGACAAGTTCTCTGCTGGAGACCGTCTTTTTTAGTCGGCGGCTTCTCCCGCCAAGTGACTTCGCCTGTGAGGCGCCGACCCCTGCAAGCGCGACGCCTGTCTCCTCCCGCCCCGCCGTGGAGCCGCCGCCGCCGCCGCCTCCCTCACGGCCAGCCGAATGCGGCGCAGACGCCTTCGCGACAAACACCTGTCGACTGTTGCAGGAGGCTGGCAGGTGCCGCTCCATGACGGCGACGCACGCGTCTAGAAGCACCTCGAGCTCACCCTCTATTTCCGCAATATCGTCGTTGCTGACGAAAAACACACCCGTCGATGAGGACGAGGGCGGCGGCGCTGCTGCCGCGGAGGAGGGGGATGAATGCCCCGCATCCGTCGACACTTCGCTCGTCGTCGCGACGGGAGCCGTCGTTCGGCGTCGCTCGAAGCGAGAGCGCACGGCGTCCTGCCTGTCCAGCTGGGCACCCTGCGACTGCCGCCACTGCTGCGGCTGTGCCCGCAGACGTCTGTGGTGCTCGCAGACGACTCGGAAAATCTTAGAAAGTGCGTTAAGCAAGGCAGCCAGGTCCGAGAAGAGGTACTTTCTGGCAAACGCCGTCACACACTCGCACAGCTGCGGCATCACAACCGTGGGCGAGAGCGGCTCCACGTGATACAGGAGGTTGCGCTTGACCCCCATCATAAGGCTCTCGAACATGAGCCACTGCGCGGAGGCAGTGGCAACGTTTCCATCCGTTCCCGCCTCTCTCGCTGGGTCTCTTGGAGAAAACGACAGGATGCGGGCGTATATCGAGGTAATGTTTGCGACTTGATGTGAGACGAAAGCAGTGCGGTGCTCCAGAGACGCCTGTAGAACGTCTGTGATGGAAGTCACGAGTGATACCATGTGTGTGTCTTGGGCACCGCCGCCATCGTCCCCGCCGTGCTGCACACACGCACCACACGGCACAATAAAAAGCGGGACGCATTGGGTAAGTGTGAAGAAGCGCAGCAATGGCAGTGCCGCCTCCTTCACCTGCGCGGGCAGGAGACCACGTGCGCAGTGGTGCACGCCGCGCGCCAACTTCGCCAGAGGCAACGCAGGGACGCTCACCCGAAGCGCACGCGGGAGACGCGGAACACCCTCCGGAGGACGCGGCGGCGCGGCCGGTGTGCCAAAGAGAACAACGCCCCCTGAGTCACTGCCAGGGCGAGCCCACTGTGTCACCGCTGCCTTCGTCAGGGAAGAAAGCAGCACGGTGAAGGCAGTGGCCTGTGCGGCCGTCAGCTCACTAGTATTTTCATCTGCTCCCCCAGTAGAGGAGTGAAAAAGGGCGTCATCCTGTAGCACAGACATCACAGCAGGCAAGAGTGTCATGCATAGCAGCTGCGACAACAGCTCGTACTCGTCTACTTCTACGTGCAAAATACGGTTGGTCAGAAGCTCCAGGAGCGCCATGGTGAGCCGACCGAGCAAGACAGCCTCCTCACAAGTGCACTTGAGCACTGAGGAGGAGGCGGAGGATGCCTGCAGGCGCTTCTGCCAAATACCCTGCAGAAACTCGACGCTTTCAGTTCCATACATACACTCCGAGATGGAGACCTCAAAATATGCGCAGGAGACCGTGATCGCACAGGCAAGCTCTTCTGTCATCGTCCATAGCGCCTGCAATTCCTTGGCATTCGGGTCTGGCATGCCACGAAGCAGAAACTCCCGCGCTTGCCAACGGACGCGTGACGACGATGTGGCGATACCCAGTGAACGGTGCAGGCCACGCAGCGCCGCCAGGTACTCTACGGCGGTGTCCGCTGTCAGTGTGGCGGGTGGTGCCAGAGAATCCAGGGAGAGGCGCATGGAGGAGGACGCCGGTGCTGCCAAAGAAGCCTCAGCGCCCGAGTTGGCGCCTCTTCTGCTTTTGCCGCTGAGTTGATGCGGTCGGTAGTGAAACGCCTGTTTCCCCGCAGCGAAGCTGCCGCTGCAGTGCCGTCGCTGCTGCATCAGCGTCGCCGGGGGCAGGAGTCGGCGCCGCCGCCGCAGCGCGGCGAAGGCGGTGGAGGCCGCACGGACGGCGGCCCTGCACCCTCCCCCCATCCAACTTCCCAACGGCGCCAGCCGCAAGCTCCCCTCCCGCGCCGTTTGCCTCGTCGCCTGGTCTCCCGCGGCCTTACACCCCCTGCTAAGTCCCTCGCGGGCCCCGCGAACGCCGCCGCCGCCGCCGGGGAGCAGAGCAAAAAAAAGAAGAAGGAGGAGCAAAAGATGCGGCGCCGCAGCTTGCCTGTGGGAACAGCCCGCAACGAACAATGAAGCTGCAAAACCAAACACAACCTCCCCACAGTGCGTCGTCCAGCGGCAGCTGGCGACACCCGCTCCCACGGCGCCGCGCAGCAGCGGCGGTAGACACGCAGCGTTCTCGTTAACACAACGTGCAAAAGGGGGACTTCTGCGGCTGCCCTTCAGAGCCCCCGCCGGGTTGTCGTCCGAACGCCGGAAGGAGAAAAACACGACAGGAGCGTCAGGCAGCGGGACTGCCGCCAATCGGTTGTGATACTCGTGCCAACGCACGCCAGTGCGCCCCGCCCTCCTCCGCGGGGCGCAGCAAAAAGAAAAAGCAACAACATCCAGTTGGGTCCGAGCCTTGCGTAAAAAAACAGCAGAAGCGCCCGTTAAGCCTTTGAGGACCAACGGAGGGTGCGCGACAAGGCGCAGGGGCAGAGACTTCAAGAAGCCCCAACAGCGTCTGAAACGGTCGTGCGCCGCCGAATGCAAACTCCGCGCCGCCAAAGAGAAGCGAAACGCAGGGACGCATTAACCTGCCCCTGTGGAACGCCACCCCTGCCCACGCGTTTAGCCACAGGCCTGCAGGATGCGGGGCATCTCCCCCAGCAGTGACGGACGGCCCTCGTCGATCCCGCGCCGGGAGGGGCTCCGCCGCGCCCTGACGGCGTTCTCCCGGTCAGTCATCCGCAAGACCAGCAATAAAAAAAGAAGTGTGTGAGACTACGGGCCTGCACGCCAGTGGGCCCTTCTTGCACGCCTTGCGCCCACAGGCTGCGGGAAGTAAAATAGTAGTAGCAGCAATAACAATAATAAAGGGAAGAAGTGTGTGTGAGGGGGCAGGTGAGTCGCGGCGGACGTGAGGAGGCCTGGAAGAACGGGAAAAAAACAACACACAAACAAAATAAAAAAAAGGCACATGCCCAGTTATAGACGGGAAAAAGAAAGAAAAAACAAAGCAAAAAAGAAAAAACTCATACATAGAAACGCACGGTCATTTACATCCTCACAAATTCGCATCTGCGTGTGTGGAAAGACAATTCCAGCCCAACAGCAAATACAGCAGGCAACTGCAGAAGAACATAAAAAAAAAACAAGCGAACAAGCCTCAGACCCCGAACAAGCCATCCTACAGAGTGACGCATTTGCAAACGAAGTAAATAAACAGAAAATGTCCACGGGTCAATGCCACGCAACATGACCCTTACCACGCCATGCCAGAGGCTTCAACGATTTTGCTTTCTTTTTGTTTGTGTGTGCGTGCGTGCTTCTCTTATTAGTAATGTGGCTTCTGTTCGGTTGCCTTTGCGGCTCTTGAGTGCGACTCACTTTTTTTCCTTCGTCCGCTCCGCACCACCTGTGCTCGTCGCTCCTCCGCTCCTCTGCTGCCCCCTCCCCCCGCCCTTTGCGTGGCGGCCAAAACGCCGTGAAACTTCACTTTCGCCGGCTCTTCCTGTGCGCGTGCTTGTCGCCAAGGAGCGCCAGGGTGAGCTTGACCTCCGCCTCCACCCCCTCCTCGCCCGAGAGGCGCAGCCAGAGCAGCGCGAGTCCCCGCGGGTTGAAGGTGCAGTCGGAGAGGCAGAACTTGCCATTCGCCACCACCAGGCCGTTGTGCAGGAGCGCCACCCGCAAGTCTGTGTTCTCGCAAAGATGAAGACGGAAAACCTGATCCATAAGATTCGCACCGCAGAGAGGGAGAGACTTGTCGTCTCTCCGGGAGACGTTCCAGCTAAACGTCTCCTCATCACCGCACACGCGCGCCCGCACCGCGGTGGAGAGGAGCACCTGGTGCTCACTCTTTATCTGCACGGAAACCTCGCCCAAGTCCCTGGCCCGCTCGCCCCCTGTCGCGGGAAGCACGTGCGTAGTACCAACGGAGGCGTGGGCCTGCAGGAAGCGACAGCGGTGCAGCGTGAGACGAATCCGCCGCTCCATAGGCGTCGGAATACCCAAAACAGTGCGGTCAATCTCACGAAAGCGGGCCTGATAGTCGCGCGGGGTATTCAGCGCCTGGTACGCATTCCAGAGGGCAGCCTTGTACTGCGATCTTGTCATATCGAATAGCTCGGCAAGCCGCCAAAGGAGGTCGCGGACGGGCACCTCAGTGAACTGCTCTATTAGAAAGTAATCCTTCAGAAGACCATTGTAGCTGCGCGCATTGCAGCGCGTAAGCGAGACAGAGATGATGTCCCTTACTCTTTGCAAGACGCCTGTCACGGCGGCCAACGAGTTTTCGGCGACCTCGCAGGAGTAGACCTGCTCCAAGAGGTCCACGTATGCCAGGCACGCCTCCTTTCGCTCCTCCGAGTCCTTCTCCGCAACCTTCTCAAAGATGCATCGACGGTGCTGTTTAAGAATGACCCTTGCGTTCTCCTGAGAGTGCTTGAGCGAATCAGCAAGCAGCGTCGCTCGTGTCGGCCGCAGCTCTAGCAGGAGCTCACGCGTGCGTCGAATGTCCTCCCCGTTCTGTATGTCCGACCGGCAATCCTCCAGGCGCCCCTGCATCACCTTCGCCTTGAACCGTAGGCTAGACTGCTCCCCCACGCCGTACTCAACAGGAAGGGGTCGCCACCTTCGCTGTGTGTCGTGGCGCGTGTGAGGCGCCTGCCGCTCCAGCTTCTGCTTTGCATCAAGTGCCCAGGGCGCAGACGTGTTCATGGCAGACGAGAAGCCCGACACATGCGGTAGCGATGAGAGCGGCGACCTAGCACGCGGGTAGAGGGAATGCGTTTGGAAACTTCCACGCCTGCGAATGGGGTCAAGCCCATACACCGTCGTGCCTTTTCCACGATGCAGTAGGGCATCAAGTTGGGCGCTGGTGCGAGCGCCCACAGCGCCACTCTCTGCGCTTTTTTTGCCATCACTGTGAGTGCCGCTGCGATCCTTCGTGTGCGCCACACTCCCGGCAGCGAAACTGTCAGGAGCCGGTACGGCGGCGGCGCGCTGTGAAATCTCATTTTCCGTCCTCCATGATATGTCCTCTGCAGAAGAGCGGCGTGGTTCCTCCTCCGTTAGGTCGTGTGCCGTCGGCTCACTGTGAATCATCTGCAGGCTTGCGAGGGTGGCGCCTTGACGGGCCTTTTCCACCTCGAGCCGGCTCCTTTTCAGTTCATTCCGCAGAAGTACCGCGCCCCGGGCGTTGTCCCCACGCAGCCGCAGTGCGTTCATCTCCTCCCGCCACGAGGAAATCGCGGCCCTGGTGAGCTCACTCTTCTGCTGCTGCCGCCTTGACAGCGTCACGTTGAAGTCCGCGTCACTGTCGTGGTCCTGCAGACTCTCCGAGCTCGTGTCCTCCTCCTCACTGAGCATCCTGACAGCGCCACCACTCACCGCCGTTACACACGGTAGGTAGCGTCTCCACCGCCGTCGCATGTGTCTTCCCCGCTCCTGCAACTGCTTCATCGTTCCCACAAACTCCTGCAGCTCCAGCAGAGGCACCGGCTGGGTTATCTTCCCATTCATTGCTAGCACGCCACGATTAGCGTGTCGCGCATCACGTTCCGCGAGCATTTCGCTGACCGCCACCCCCGGCCCCACCCCGGCCTCCACGTCCCCCACCTTACGCATCCTAAGCGTGGCTGGAAGCAGTTCACTGTACGTCTTCGGGTCATACTCCACAACGCCCTTCACGCGCCGTCCTCGCTGCTGCCCGCCGCCTCGAGAGCCCCCTGCGCCCGGCGCGGCGGCATCCCCCCCGGGGCTCGCAGTGCCCACCTTCGGAGTGTCACTTAATGACGTTTGCGCTCCCATCGCAGCGGAGGATGCCCCGCTTCGCGGCCCTAGCGTAAGCGGCAACGTAAAAGTTGTGGCAGGTTCCCTCGCCCGCCGCTCCGACGGTTTTTTCGAGAAGTTCCGCTTCTTCGCGTCGCCAGGGCGATCGTCACCCCCGCGCATGGTGACGCTCCGCTTATCCCCGGTACCGTCCTCCACGAAAAGCAGCGCTGACTCCCCCTGCTGAAACGCACTTGGCCGCGTCTTGTTGTGACGCAGCCGTCCCCCGCGGCCCCACCCCTCCGAAGCCGACTTCTGATCCACCGCCGGCAACCTCAACTCGCCCCCCACGGGAGACAACGAGCGACGCCCCGTCGGCTGCGAGGCCGCGGCACACTGCGCCGGTGGCGCACATTCCCCTGCAGTGGCCGGGCCTGTCGTCGCCATCGGCACACGCGCCCACCCCCTAGCGCCGCCCAGCCAGCCGCGGCGTCGCCCACGTCAGTCTCCAGTGCACCCTCCACGCCGAGTGCAGCTCAACGGAAGCTAAAGACGCAACAAGGCAAGAGATGCAGGGAATCACAACAAGGCGCCCCAAGCGCGAGGCGTTACGCGCCCGGCAGACACGCAGTCATCAAACAACAACCACGAGGGGCAGGCAACACAAAAACACAAATCCGCTCGCCCACTCATCGACAGCTGACAAAGAAAAAGGATGGAGAAAGTGTGGGGTAAATAGATGCATCAGTCTGCTCCGCATACGCCCACACACAGGGAAGGAGAGAGTGGGAATTAATGAGTCCCACGACGCAGCAGAGAAAGAAACCAAATGGAAAATACAGAA